GGATCATGACCTGAGCCGAAGGCAGTCGTTTAACAAACTGAGCCACCCAGGTGCCCCGGCATTTCTTAAGACTTCACTATTGTCAGTTGCCTGAAGAAGCTCATACAACTCTAAATGACCCCAAACTAGATTTTAGTGTCAAGGAAGAAGGCATTTACTTTTCAGTCATTGCTATTCAGGTCAAGAATGATGCCAAGGGGCACCTGGGTGGCTCAGTCGTTGGGCGTCTGCCTTCGGCTCAGGTCATGGTCCCGGGGTCCTGGGATCGAGTCCCACATCGGGCTCTCCCTGCTCAGCGGGAGGCCTGCTTCTCCCTCTCCCACTCCCACTGCTTGTGTTCCTGTTCTCGCTGTCTCTCTCTGTCATATAAATAAAATCTTTGGAAGAAAAAAAAAAAAAAAGAATGATGCCAAGGCCGAGGCAGCAAGGGTTCTATGGACCAGTGGTCCCCGTTTAGGTCTTTGTCTCTAAGAAACCATAGCCAAACACCCGGCTTTCTCAGGGACAGCATGCTGGGAGCAGCATCATCCTTCACCGGTCTCAGATCTGATACAATTAATGCTCAAGGACTCTCTGTCTTCTCTGCACTGGGAGCAGCTCTCCTGCCACAGCCCCTCAGCCCCTGAAAATGTCCGCCTGTGCCAAGTTTGTCTCCACCCCCTTCTTGGTCGGGGCACCTCTCAGCTGTTGAGCCCATCACTGTCTGCAGTGGTGCGAAAACCACCAGAGACACCGACAGATGAGAGCCTCAGCGGCTTGGCAGCCCCACATCCCCTGACCTCACTTATTCCTAGCCGCAGCTTCCAAACCAGCGCCATTGCAAGGGACGTCGATATAGCAGCCAAGTTCATTGGGGCTGGGGCTGCCACGGTAGGGGTGGCTGGCTCTGGGGCTGGAATTGGGACTGTGTTTGGGAGCCTCATCATTGGTTATGCCAGGAATCCCTCTCTGAAGCAACAGCTCCTCTCCTACACCATTCTGGACTTTGCCCTCTCAGAGGCCATGGGGCTCTTGTGCCTGATGGTGGCCTTTCTCATCCTCTTCACCAGGTGAAGGAGCCGTCTCCACCTCCCATAGGTCTTTCTCCCGAGTCTCGTCTGCCCTGTGTGTTCCTTTTCCTATACCTCCCCAGGCAGCCTGGGGAAAGTGGTTGGCTCAGGGTGTGACAGAGGAAAGACAAATAAATACTGTATTAATAAAAAAAAAATTTTTTTTAAGAAATTAAAAAAAAAGGAAGAAGAAACAATAAATGCTCAAGGAATCAGGGCAACTCAAGAATTAGCAGACGTTTGGAACTGATGCTAAAATAACAGCTACCAGATTTTTCAGATTTCACTCAGCAGTACAATTAAAAACAAAAAAAAATTTTTTTGAGGACCAATTTATCAATGCTAAAGTTTTACTTTACCAAAAGAAAACATTTAAAAAATAACAGCAACAGAAACAAAAATTTAACTGCAGGCCAGCCAGACACAGACTCACTCACATGAGAAAATATGATATTTGACAGAAATGATACTGATTACCGGAGAAAAGAGTACCCCACTCACTAAGTAGTCCTGGGCCAACTGGCTTTCCAACTGGGAAAAAAAAATCCCAAACTCACTACAAAAAAACTAGTTCTAGGTACGTTAAAGACTTAAATGGGGAAGAAAAAACACTTTCTAAATTTTTACAAAATATGCTTCTACCCTTGGTATAAAGATTTTCTTACACAAAATATAAAAACTAAAGTCATAACAAAAAAGTTTAATAAATTCCAGCACATTAAAATTAGGATTTCTAGAGTAAGGGGATGGGCAAAATGGGTGAATGAGATGAAGAGGTACAAACTTCCAGTTATAAAATAAGTCACAGGGATGAAAAGTACAGCATAGGGAATATAGTCAATAATACTGTAATAACTTAATAGGGTGACAGATGGTGAGTAAATTTATTATGGTGAATGTTTCATAATGGATATAATTGTCAAATTACTACTTTGTATACCTGAAACTAATAGCCACCCAGGCACCCCAGTTGGCCAACATTTTAAAGTTTGACAGTAACCAAGTGTTGTTGAGGACATGAAGCAATGGGACCTCTCCTACACTGGTAAGAGGGTAAATTGGTACAATTTCTGAGGAAAACATTTGCCATTACCTTGCAGCTTGAGAATCTGCTTGCCTTATAACCCAGACATTCTACTTCCTGACGTATGACCTAGAGAAAGTCTTACATGTGTGCACCAAGAGATCCATAATAAGAATGCCTGTAGCAGGGACGCCTGGGTGGCTCAGTCGTTAAGCGTCTGCCTTCGGCTCAGGTCATGATCCCAGGGTCCTGGGATCGAGCCCCGCATTGGCCTCCCTGCTCGGCGGG